CCCTTGAAATAAACCATGCGTTTTGTTAAATCAACAATTTTCATGCTTTGGAAATTTGAGCAAGAGAGCAAAAAATAATATTGTTATTTAAAAAAAATTAAAGATGTTTGAACAAAAATACCCCATTGAAACAATAATAACAACAATCAATACGAAACTAACGATTTTAAATTGGCTCACCACTTTAGTAGCCTATTGGTCCCAAGCAAACGATTAACGTACCCTATTCTAGTTGAAATTCTATTACTACACTATGTTTGTTTTGATTCGCTATGAAAGTTTGACAGATAACATCAGGGGTGTGTGGATTCATGCAGAACATGCAGGGGTGAGTGAAATAGCTTGGGACTGCTTGGGACCGTTGTTCTGGTACTGAGTGAGCCAAAAATAATAATGATTTTCTTCGGAACCCAGTGGTCTTAGAGTTACCTCTATGATAATAATGCGATCGTTGAGCACAACAATATTATTTTTTGTTTTAAACCATCAAAAATTCTTTGCGTGTAGTCTTAGAGTTACCTCTATGGTATTGCTGTCTGTCTTGTTTTCAAGAACCGCTCTGATGGATACATACTAGTACATATAGCACCGGCTGCAGTGAAAATGTTGATCAGGTGCCCCATGAAAAATCACCTGCCCAACGTCCGTTGCTCTAAATGATAATTGAAAAGCGAAAGCATCGCGTCTTTCTGACCGAATGGTGTGAAATTCCTAAAACTCATTAACACTCAAATCGAGACTAGAAAACCAGCAACGGAATGCATGACCTGATTGAACAGTGTCCTTGTGATACAGAATGAGATAAATTAGTAATGTTACACCATCGTACACAGGCGTGGAAAATCATTTACATTCATTTCCATTACGCTTTTTCCATCAACAGAATACCATAAAATGATGTATTAAGCTTTTGGAGGTTTTTATACTAGCTACAACTTTTGCAAATAATTTAAATCTGAATTTCTTAGCCACTAAACTGTCTATTTCACAGTGGGATAACTGAAAATCAGTTGGACTTAACGTAAGCATTCTATTTTAAAAACTTAAGGAAAAAGTTGCAAAAGAGCTATCCATCCCTGCATGGTTGTAGCAACCGGTGGAAATTAACGATTTTAAATTGGCTCACTTCTTGACTAGCCTATTGGTCCCAAGCAAATCGAATAACGTACCCCATTAGAGTCGAAATTCTAGTACTACACTATGTTTGTTTTGATTCGCTATGAAAGTTTGACAGATAAAATGAGGGGTTCGTGGATTTTCCTATGACTCGAGAAATCTTCCTTCGGAAGGGAAGTACAGTATAGTAGCCAATTGAGCTGTCAAATAGCGGAACCAATCGAACGAATCACGACCAACAACAGAAAATTAAGAGCACATTAGCTATTGCGAACAAAACATCGGAAACACTTTTCTCGTGACTCAAGGCTCGCCTACGCAAACTAACACCATCTTTGGGTTGGAGAAAGTTTCCCCTATCCGATGGTGCCGGTAATTTGCGTTCGATTGGCGAGGAAAGAATAATCAACGTTTTGTTTATAAATGTTGATAGTACCTTTTCAATTGTTGGTCTAAAATATATTGAATTGGTTCCGCTTTTTGATAGATCAAAATTCTATCCGCACGGATAGAAATCTCCTTATACCTTTTGGCAAATTTATATTGCTGATTATTCATAAAATGTATAAGTCAACTAATAAGCAAACGCCTTGCAAAAAGTTAATGATGATCATGTGTCAAATGAAATTTATAAGCGGTCACACATACCATTTATGCATTCTTATAGGACCGATGTGGTTTGTCTTATGGAATGTATAAGGCTGATGTTTTGGCAAAAATGTATAAGGCTGATGTTTTGGCAAAAATGTATAAGTGAAACACATGTATAAAATAATTCAGTGCCAACATTTCAAAGGGGCGTAACTGCTTTTGTAAACAATGGCTTTAGCTGTCGATTTCTCGCATCTTAAAGCTCACTCCTTCAAAATAACAATGCTAGATAGTAGAGGAAATATTCTTCTACCTATTGGTGTCATTATTTTTCATAAGTGAGCTTTTATTCGCGAGATATCGTCGGCTAAAGCCATTGTTTACAAATGCAATTACGCCCCTTTGAAATGTTGGCACTGAATTGATTTTCGTTTCGTGCGCCAGACTATGTCCCCCTGCCGTACTCTAACGGAACTATCAACTCTAGACTTTCATCTCCTCCATCTATTATTTGAAATTAGCATCTTCAACTATGTAAATCGTTAACTTCACGCAGAAGTAATACTAAACATACAGTCAAAAATACTAAAAAATCTGCCGGGAAATGAGGAAATTGACGAAAATTTTATTCAGTCTCGTAGTAGTACCAATAGACTGAGTGAATCCAATCTTTACTTTTCTCAAATTCGGGAATTTTTCCCTGGAAAAAACAGGGAAAACATGAGGCAAATTTACTCATCGCTGAGTTCCTGCACTTTTGGCGATTATGAGTGAACTAAACCCAAATTTGGGTTGTTCTCATTCGCTGTGAGGGGTGCATCGATTAGCTTGTACCAGAGCTGAGCCAAAAAGTTGAGCACGTTTCTTCGGGACCTTCTGGTCTTAGAGTTACACTGTACACAAACATCATCCTCTGATCGAATGAAACCTCAGACCATTCAAAACAAATCACCGAAATCGCTTTTTTGAATGATACCTGCAACGGATGACGGTTGTTTTGAAATCAGATGATTTTCCTCTAGAATACAGGATGAAAATTGTTATGAGAAGGGGTAGGGCCTTCAGTTGAAATGCGTAATGCTCTCTGCAGAATGACTGTCATACTAAATGGAAATGCTTATGGTATTGGTTCAGCCCCATAACGCAAATCATTCAAAACGATGATGTTAATAATTCTATCGAATGTCATTTGCTGATCTGAGCTGACAAACGAGGTGGAAGCATATGCATCGCTATCAGAGCTGTTTCGAACATAGGTAAAGAATGAAAACCAATGTCTGGCTAATTCGTGGTGGAGGTTTCCTTCACCACGAGAAAATTTTGTATTCATAATGGAATGGCTTATTATGACTATTCAGTATAGAAATGTAGATAATCAAATTATAAATCTAATTAAAAGCACTTGCATGTCACACTAGTCTTAAATGTTTGTCCTCTGAGAGCCGTATGTTTTATAGCTAATTTTCAAACGAAAATCATCCTGTATTTGGATGACAGTCATATGGATGTTCATCATCTGACGACGAATTCAACCATAAGAAAATCATCCGAAATTCGAATGCATATTGGTAAGGGATGGTCCATTAATTATGTCACGCAAATTTGGCCCATTTTCAACCCCCCCTCTCCCCTTTGTCACATTTTTTGTATGGACCTTAATTTTTTTTTTTGTATGGCTCGTCACAGTTTTCAAAACCCCCCCTCCCCCCTAAATGTGTGACATAATTAATGGACGACCCCTAAAGGGCTCGAGCAATGCAATAATCATTCGAAGTATTGCGGATGTTTTGGTTCAGTGACCTCTATGGTAGTAGCAACAATCAATACGAAACTAACGATTTTAAATTGGCTCACCACTTTAGTAGCCTATTGGTCCCAAGCAAACGATTAACGTACCCTATTCTAGTTGAAATTCTATTACTACACTATGTTTGTTTTGATTCGCTATGAAAGTTTGACAGATAACATCAGGGGTGTGTGGATTCATGCAGAACATGCAGGGGTGAGTGAAATAGCTTGGGACTGCTTGGGACCGTTGTTCTGGTACTGAGTGAGCCAAAAATAATAATGATTTTCTTCGGGACCCAGTGGTCTTAGAGTTACCTCTATGGTAGTAGCGCATGTGATCCACAACTTTTTGGTCCGTCTCATGTTTGCCTATCTATACCAGTATAGTCAGTACTTATGTCAGTTTCTCCGTGTGTTCTTTATTCTCGTCCATTCGATATGTATTTTTCAGGATTCAACTGAGTAACTATTAAAAAAAAAAGTAATTAGCATACTATTGATTTTGAACAATTTTTTTTGTGAATCCAATAATTTAGCACAAACAATGTGAAAGTCTGTCACATCGTTTGTGATTTTAGGCTTTAGTTCTCGCACTTTTTTTCAAAAATACATTATCTCAAAACAACAAAAAAAAAACCTGGAAAGTAAAGGATTAAACCGAAGACAACAACGCGATTGTACCTGTCTCATAGCGTTCGTATGAGAAAATGGAAGAGTTGCCAGTCTTCTTGATTTGTTGTCTTCGGTTAAACCCAAAGCGTTCTTCCGATTCCGTTCACATCTGCATCCGTACATCCACTCATCAGAGATAAGTCAAACTTCGTATGTGCTTGCTTTAATCATAGAGGTAACTCTAAGACCACTGAGTCCCGAAGAAAATCATTATTATTTTTGGCTCACTCAGTACCAGAACAACGGTCCCAAGCAGTCCCAAGCTATTTCACTCACCCCTGCATGTTCTGCATGAATCCACACACCCCTGATGTTATCTGTCAAACTTTCATAGCGAATCAAAACAAACATAGTGTAGTAATAGAATTTCAACTAGAATAGGGTACGTTAATCGTTTGCTTGGGACCAATAGGCTACTAAAGTGGTGAGCCAATTTAAAATCGTTAGTTTCGTATTGATTGTTGCTTTAATCAACTTAAATTAATTACTATAGGTAATACATCTGGTAATGCTTGTTCAATTCAGTGCCAACATTTCAAAGGGGCGTAAATGCTTTTGTAAACAATGGCTTTAGCTGTCGATTTCTCGCACCTTAAAGCTCACTCCTTCAAAATAACAATGCTAGATGGTAGAGGAAACATTCCTCTACCTATTGGTGTCATTATTTTTCATGAGTGAGCTTTTATTCGCGAGAAATTGACGGCTAAAGCCATTGTTTACAAATGCAATTACGCCCCTTTGAAATGTTGGCACTGAATTGTTCGCTAGCAAAATAATGAAGTCGAAGTGGTTTTCTTAGTTCTTAAACATATATTAAAAAAAAGAAGAAGCTATATTCAATGTCTTCTGTATTGTTTCTTAAACTTATCGAAATGATAGTCATCGGTTGCTTTTTTCGGAACTTTCTCGTCGCTGGAACGTTGCGCATACTGTTCCGGATAGCGTCGCTTCGGTTGCACCGGTTGATCGATTTTGAATCTGTTGTGCTGCATGAAATTGACCGCCATATTGGAGGGTACAAAATGTGACGGTAGATCCTTCTTTCTCTGCTGTTCCTGGAGAAACTTTAGCTTCGCATCCTCGGTGGCCTCAATGTTCTTAATTTTTGCTTCTATACCAAGGTCAACTTCTGGAATACCACTAAGCATCTGGTTGGACAACATTTCCTCCGACCGTTGTGAAGACGTTTGACTGAGATGAGCTGGCAGCGAAAGCAAAGCTGCATCTTCAGGACTGAGATATTTGTGCGATGATTCTGCCTCACCAGCATCCCCAGTCATTTCATTAGCAACACCCTTCTTTTTGCTCAACTGTTCTTCGATGTATCTAGAAATACAAAGTAATGATTATAAACCTGTATATTTCAATCAACGCAATTTAAAAACTACTTCATCATCTCTTCATCTTCGTCGCGCTTGTTTGTCTCGGCTGAGAACTGCGTTCCTATTCCCGTATCGTAGGCGTCGTCAACAGTTTTGATTTTACCGGATTTCAAAGCTTTCATGTTCACCATCCCTCCGCATTTTGCGTTAAACGGATCTTTCTAAAATGTATGTGAAATTTTTTAAAAATATTCGTGTAACTTTTAAAACAACAATCTTACATTGGCGACCTCCTCTTCAACGGTAATTCTCTTGCCAGCAGCCAGAGTCAGGATATTGACTCCTTTAGGCTTATTCCGCAGTTTCTGCTTTTCTTTAGTTTCTTCTAATTTTAACCTACAATAAATGAAATGACTTAATCAATGAATTGGAACCAAAACAAGATTACAAGAATAAACTACAGAATTTCTTCGTCGGGTTTGTCACCATCTTCAGATTTTATACGTTTCCGAATGTTTTTCCGCGACTTTTGCTTAAACTCTACTTTCACTTGTACTTGCTCTTCGTCCGACATTATTTGCGTAAATAAATAGAAACTTTTCGCTCACTTTTTAAACAAAATTGTATTAGCCTATATGAAGTAAAGTTGAACCAGGTTTAATTTTTAACAATTTTTCGCGAGAATTATTGTTTATTTTTCTTTCCCAAGTGACAGGCGGGCAATAGTAATATTTACACGCTACACTGTACACAAACATCATCCTCTGATCGAATGAAACCTCAGACCATTCAAAACAAAACACCGAAATCGCTTTTTCGAATGATAGCTGCTACCGGATGACGGTTGATTTGAAATCAGATGATTTTCCTCTCGACTACAGGATGAAAATTGTTATGAGAAGAAACCGGGCCTTCAGTTGAAATGCGTAATGCTCTCTGCATAATGACTGTCATACTAAATGGAAATGCTTATGGTATTGGTTCAGCCCCATAACGAAAATCATTCAAAACGATGATGTAAATAATTCTATCGAGCGTCATTTGCTGATCGGAGCTGACAAACGAGGTGGAAGGATATGCATCGCTATCAGAGCTGTTACGAACATAGGTAAAGGATGAAAACCAATGTTTGGCTAATTCGTGATACAATCATTCTCTGCTTGAACGTCAAGCAGTTTAGTTCGGTTTGAGCTCGCTCTCGTGAGTTGTTCGGAAAGTATTTTTGTGAGTTAGTGTTCGCGCTCTTTCATTCGTGGTTTGTCGTGCGTGTGTGTGTGCCCCGAAATGGGGAAGCATCGCTCGCGAAGCCCGGTGAAGGACCAGGACGCCGGTGAAGGTAGCTCCGGTGTGTCCACATCGAACAGGTTTGCTGTTCTTCCCATCGATGAGCATACCCAGCCAGCTGCAAAAGGAAAGCGCAGCAAGAAGAGGAAGAAGAATCGGAGCCAGTCCGATTGCACGATTTCTCGCGGCGATGCTACTGCGGCAAACGGTAGTGATGTCGGAGATTTCGGTGACGTTGCCGACACAAGCACGGCAAAAGTAAAGCTACCTCCGTTGGTAGTAAAAAATGCCCATCTTAACGATCTCATCGCAGATCTGGCTTCGCTGGGCGTTAAAGCCAAATTCAAGTTGGGCAGAGTCGGCACCAAGGTTATGCTCCGCACGAAAGCGGAGTATGACTTGGTCGTTGCCCACCTGAGGACTACCAAGGTGGAATTTTTCACCCACGACATTCCCGGCGAGAAACCATTCAAGGTCGTCATCAGGGGTCTACCGAATTTTGACCCGAAGCTGATTGAAGCGGAAATCAAGAACCGCTACAAGCTGGCCCCAACTGCCGTCTTCCGGATGACAAGGAGGGACGAGAACGTCAAAAGGTATCCAGATTGTCTTTTCCTGGTGCATTTCCAGAAGGGAACGGTGACGCTCAATACGTTGAAGGCTATCCGCTCCATCAATTCCATCATTGTCCGATGGGAGCCATACCGTGGCGGCCGTCACGACGTCACCCAGTGTCAACGTTGCCTGAATTTCGGGCACGGCACCCGAAACTGCTTCGTCAAGCCGCGCTGTGGAAAATGCGCCCAAAACCATATCTCCTCCGAGTGTGTTGTCGACGAGTCGGAAGCGGCCAAATGCGCCAACTGTAATGGCGCTCATCAAGGGTCCGACAAACAGTGCCCCAAACGCGAAGATTTCAAACGGATCCGAAAGCAGGCGTCCACAAGAAATCAACCAGGACGAAAGAAGGAAAATACGCCGGCATTCAGACTGGAGGATTTCCCGCCTCTTCCTGCTACGCAACACGATCAAGCAAATCCACGGGTGCAATCCGGCCCCCGCCAAGAAACGTCTGGTGCCTCAGCTGGACAAAGCTCTCCATCCCCCCCTGGATTCTGGAGACAACCACCAGCACAAAACGCCAATCCCGATCTCTTCTCTGCGGATGAGCTGATGAAGATTTTCGTCGACATGACCAGCGCTCTTCGCCAGTGCCGCAGCAAGCCCGAACAGATCCAAGTGCTCGGTAAATTTATTATTCAGTATGGTGTCTAAACCGATATCTGTCGTCACATGGAACGCATGCTCTGTAAGAGCAAAAAGACTCGAGCTTGCTGACTTCCTCCGCAAGCATAGTATCGACGTGGGCCTCCTAACAGAGACCCATCTTAAATCCGGTGACAGCTTTTGGTTGCCTGATCACCACATTATCCGGCTTGATCGTATTGACTCCAGGGGGGGTGGTGTTGCGATCATCATCAAGAAAGGAATCAAGTTCTGCACGCTGCCGCATATTCGCACTTCTATCATCGAGGCCCTTAGTGTCGAGGTGGAATCACCAACCGGAAACGTCCGGTTCGTCGCCGTATACTGCCCTCGTCAGTGTGCTGCCAGTAATGGATTAGGCATCCAATTTAAGCATGATCTGACCACCATCACTCGCACGAGCTCACGATTCGTCATTGGGGGCGATTTAAATGCCCGCCACGAAGCATGGCGGAACTATCAGCGGAATCAGAACGGACGTCTGCTCTTCGACCACTCGCAGCATGGGCTGTATACAGTGAAATTCCCTGATGAACCGACATTCATCTCTCCGGCGGGAAACCCTTCCACGTTGGACTTTTTTCTATCGAACATTGGACTATCCAAACCGATGGCGTTCAACGATCTCAGTTCCGACCATCAACCGGTGGTGGCTGAAGTCGGCACCCACGTGGAACCTGCTCAAAGCCTGCGCAAAGACTACCATCATGTCGACTGGGTGCAGTTTGGGCATGTGGTCGACAGAAACATCGATGAAAATCCGCCACTTGACACCGTAGAGGACATCGACCGGGCACTGGAAGGGCTCCACCAGGCCATATCCGTGGCTGACGAGACGTGTGTTCGACAAGTTCCTGTGAGGGGTAAGTTTGTTTCCATTGATTCCCACACCCAATTACTGATTCGCTTGAGAAATGTGCGTAGACGCCAGTTTCAGAGGACTGGAGATCCAGCGAGGAAACGTGAAATGGCCGATCTGAACAGGCAGATTGCTTCCAGAATGGACTCACTCCGAAATGAAAGTTTCGGGCGTGTTGTCCAGAATCTGGATGACCGCTCCCGTCCATTCTGGAAGGTAGCCAAGGTGCTGAAAACTCATCCCAAACCCGTTCCACCTCTCAGAGTCGAAAATGATGACGATCGGCTTTTAATCACCCCACAGGAGAAAGCAAATGCGATCGGCGAGCATGTCGCTTCATCGCATTTGCTTGGCTCGTCTATCCAAAGTCCGCTCGAAGATCAGGTTGCGCAATGCGTTCAAAACCTAGATGCCTCCCCTTGTGTCGTGCCTCCGGTGGATATGATTACAGTACAACAAATTTGCTCAGCGCTGAAATGCACCAAGAACATGAAGGCCCCCGGGTTTGACGGCATATTCAACTTGATCTTGAAGAGACTCAGCATGAAAGTGCAGTCTCTTCTAACCGCTATCTTCAACAGATGTTTGGAACTGCACTACTTTCCAAACATCTGGAAAGTAGCAAAAATCATACCAATCCGCAAACCCGGTAAGGATCCAACATTGTCTTCAAGCTACAGACCAATCAGCCTCCTTTCAGCGCTGAGCAAATTGTTCGAGAAACTCATTCTCAATCGTTTGCTCAAGTTTGTGGAGGAAAGCAACATTCTCCTTCCGGAACAGTTTGGATTCAGAAAGGGGCACTCTACCAATCATCAGCTAGTACGGGTGATGAATAACATCCGAAGTAACAAAGCTGTATCCAAGTCCACAGCCATGGCCTTGTTAGACGTTGAAAAGGCGTTTGACAATGTTTGGCATGACGGACTTGTGTACAAGCTTTGTAACTTCAACTTCCCATTACATCTGGTTAAAATCACCCGAAACTACCTCCAGCAAAGGTCGTTTAAGGTATCGTTGAATGGTTGTCTTTCAGACACGTTTTCCATCCCAGCAGGAGTCCCGCAAGGCAGTCTGCTGGGCCCCTTGCTTTACAGCATTTACACTTCCGACATTCCTCCCCTCGGTGACGGTTGCGTGTTTTTCCTGTTCGCAGATGATACCGCAATAGCCGTCAAAGGAAGGATGCCTCGCGAAATAACGAACAAACTTCAACGATGCCTTAACGCCTTTGCTGATTATGCCACCATGTGGAAAATCAAAATCAATGCCTCCAAAACACAAGCGATCATGTTCCTCCATCGGCAATCGCCCAAACTGAAACCGGCTCCATCTTGTACTGTAATCATGGATGGCACAAGGGTTGAGTGGTCCGCCGAAGTAACCTATCTCGGGATGTTGTTTGATGAAAAGCTCCTCTTCCGTTCGCATGTAGAGAAAACAGTAGTCAAGTGTTCTGCCTTGGTTAGGTGTCTGTATCCGCTGATTTGCCGCAGATCTCGCCTCTCAAGGGTAAACAAACTGGCCGTCTACAAACAAATCATAGCACCTGCGATCCTCTACGCAGCTCCGGTGTGGGAATCATGTGCACAGACTCACAGGAACAAAATTCAGGTCGCACAAAATAGAGTGCTGAGGATGGTTCTTGATCGTCCTTTCGACACTAGAATAACAAATTTACACGAAGAGGCAGGAATTGCCAAAATAGATTCAAGAATTAACGAAATTAAGACTAAATTTGCAGAAAAATGTAATTTATCAGAACATGCTTTGATAAGCAACTTGTATATAGTAGGTTAGGTGCATATAGTAGTTGTAGGTTAGTTGTAGTTGTAAATAGTAGTTATAAGTAGTCTCCTTTTTCCAATTCAAATCAAACCAATCCCACCAAGGTGGTCATACTTTAAAATAGGCCTGATAGGACTAGGAACTGTAAATAATAATTAATATCTCAAATGAACTAAAGTTGAAAAGACGCATCTGTGTCACTTGAAAAAATTCATAAATGTAAACCACACAAACACAAGAAATAAAGATCATTTTAAGTCATTGTAAAAAAAAAAAAAAAGTTTGGCTAATTCGTGGTGGAGGAGGTTTTCTCCACCACGAAAATTTTGTGTGTCCATAATGGAATGGCTTATTATGGCTATTCATTATGGAATTGTAGATAATAAAATTATAAATCTAATTAAAAGCACTTGCATGTCACACTACCCGCATAAACGCGAACCATCACTTGATCTTACCGATAATGGTTATAAATAATTTATAATCCCTCCTAAACTTTAACTGAAATGGTTATGGAACTTTAGATGAACGTTTGTGTGATAAAGTTTCAAGCTTATGTATTATGGTTTTTTGGAAGCGGACCTTACAAATAATGGTTTGTTAAGAACCATTACCATTCCAAATTCTTGTTTTCTCCATACATTTTCAGAAAGAGAACTATATAAGAACGTTTTTACTTATGATTTGAGAACATTAATGGTAATGGTTATGGTAGTCAGTAAGGTCCATTAATGGTTTTGTATTATCGCTCAACTTTACGTGGAATATATCGTGAATTGTTAATCAGTAAATACCCGGCAACCAATTCACGATATATTCCACATAAAGTTGATCGATGTTACAAAACCAATCGTGGACCTTACTGACTACCATAACCATTACCATTAAAGTTCTCAAACCATAAGTTAAAAGGTTCTAATATAGTTCTCTTTCCGAAAATGTATGGGGAAAACTAGAATTTTTAACGGTAATGGTTCTTAACAACCCATTATTTGTAAGGTCCAGTTCCAAAAAACCATAATACATAAGGTTGAAACTTTATCATTAAACGTTCATGTAAAGTTCCATAACCATTTCAGTTAAAGTTTAGCAGGGATTATAAACAATTTTTAACCATTTTAGGTAAGGTCAATTTATGGTTCGCGTTTATGCGGGTATTCTTAAATGTTTGTCCTCTGAGTGCCGTATGTTTTATAGCTAATTTTCAAACGAAAATCATCCTGTGTTTGTATAACAGTCATTATCTGACGACGAATTCAACCATAAGAAAATCATCCGAAATTCGAATGTATATTGTTAAAGGGCTCGAGCAATGCAATAATCATTCGAAGTATTGCGGATGTTTTGGTTCAGTGTACACGCTAACTCTAAAGTCCCCATTAATGAGTAAAATGTTACTCATTTTGAAGAATGTGTGGCTCCGCTTAACCTCGTTATTATGCCAAACGGCTTTATGCCAATCAGCGTTCCCCCGTAGCCCGCCTTCTTATTTCACGCATTTTCTTATCAGTGGGACTTTTGTTATTGTTTCGATTCAAGTTGGCCACTAAATCCGCGTGCTCGAGTGAAATCAGTCAAAATTTCCGATTTAATCTAATAATCAATAAAATTTAGTATTTTTTCAATCGTATATTACATTATATTGTTGCTTCTATACCTAAAATGGGAAAACTAAACAAAAAGCTAGTGTCGCTCAAACCGCATCCCAAAAAGGAGAAAAAAGAAGACGATTCAAAGGTAGTATCGGGTCCTTTTCCTATATACCGCTCCACACCGGTGCAGTTGAATGGGCCTGAACCGAAAAATTTCAAACTTCCGTCAAAGTCTAAAACGAAGCTTGCTGCAAAATCAATCCCTGTATCCGAACCGGAGTCTCCAAAGGAAAGCAATGACGATCCAAAAACACCCGGAAAGACTAAGAAGCTCCGGAAGATTGTAATCAGCCGTCTTAATAAAAAGGATAAGGTGAAGTTTCGCAAGGAAGAAGTGTTAAAAAGGATCGAACTTACCCAAAAAGCATTCAAAGAGGACAAGCAGAAGAAAAAACGCGAAAAAACAGCAGTAACCGGTGACATGAAACCGCTGCTGGATGCTCTGCCGTCGTTGGATTCGTTGTTCAAGCTGAAATCTGCTGACGCCATCAAAACCGGAGTTCCAAAGTACGACAAAAAAGCTGCCCCCAAGACGAAACAGCAACTCAATGTTGAAAGGCTGAAGAAGAAACGGGTTGAATTTCTCGCCCGCTGTCAGAAGATCAATCAGGTCCTCAAGTCGAAAAAGTTCAAGAAGAATCCCAAGAAAATGATCGCCGAACACATTCGAAATACGAGGAAAGAACAACTGCAGTTGCTGCTCGGCAATTCATAAGGAACTCAATTCAGAAATATAAAAAATATTGTTTACTTAAGTTAGTTGGTAAGCGTTATTAATAATATTCACACGTGAACATTCCCTTTTCTACATAATCGAACAATAATGAAAATCTATCGCCTATTTTTGATCATAACGGATTTTCCATGCATTTTTTTTGAATGGATAATCCGTTTGTATCGTAAAACACTGGCTTAACATACCAGTTATAACATGTTAAGCAGCCTATCTTGATGACATTTGTCTTGTCGATAACTATTATATTATGTTACAACTTTGTAATCTGAACAAGGCATCAATAATTAGTGAACACTGTAAAATTTGCTGTTTCCGTTGTGCTTCTGCCCACATTGAGTTTTGGCTTTAAAAGGCAATTTGAAAATAAATTTGAATGTTCGACAATCCCTCTGTTGTTGATCGATCGATTTTCGAGAAGGTGTTTGTCAAAATTGTCTGTCAGAAATAAGTCTGGTGGAATAGCAGGGTTATTTGAAGATTTGCCATCTGTTAAGTGAAAATGCAACACAGCCTAAATTTGTGGTCCCGAAATGTTGTGTTGTGTTCATCGTTTTCCTATGCAGCCTATCGCATCGCACTCCACCTTTTTGCAGGAAATCTTAAAAATCTTTTTTCTATCTACTAACCGTGCACGCATCTCACAACACCTAACAAAAATTACTACTACACCACCGGCGCTGGTACCCCTCTCGGTCAGCATTATCATCATCATGCAGTGGTGACATCTGCGTACAGCTTTTGCGGTAATTTGCCAATTGTTTTGATTGGAGAAGCGACATCTGAAATTTGAAACACTACAGAGCGTAATTTCGAGCTTGTACGCCATATTTTTCACAGCAGACCATCTCAGACACATCCATAAGTCTTAGGGGGTACTGAAATATTTGAATACTTGTCATCACGAAAATCTACTCTTTTCTAAAACAATTTCTGTTAAATATGTATCTGTATCGTGCAATGCTCAAAACATTTAATTATTGAAGTGTTTTTTCTAACCATCTCATTAACAATCATATAAATCGTACAAAAGTGAAGTTAATTCTTGTATATTTTCCATTTGCATTACATTTGCAAGTGAATCCCCTAACCATCAAAGAGCCCCTCAATCCGAAGTGAAAATCAGTTCGGGTTTGTTTTTCAGTCGCGTGTGAGGTGGCTTTTCTGTGTCTTCGCGATCGTGAATCAATTTGGGCAGTTCAGGTGACTCCCGTCGGTCTCGAATCATCTCGCACGCGAACCGTAGACAATTCCCGACCGCCACGCGTTTCAAAACGGCATAAACGGCAGCCAGGACAATTATCCCGGGAAATAAAAATCTGCATCACACCGTCGGAATCGGACGGGAAGAGTGCATTTTTTTTTTGGTCCGTCTACCCGTGTGAGTGCTCCCCCGAGCGTTAAAAGAAGAACGTAGCACGCTGCCGTCGTCGTGCTGAAGAAAAGGTAAGAAGAAGTAACGCGAGGTCGCATATCAAACATCAAATCAACCTAGCAGACCCTAAACAAGAGCGGACGAAAGACAAAGAGAGAAGACGAAGCATATACACAGCTGACAGTTTGGATACAACATAAGCCGATAAACGTCAAAGACAGAGAAGAAGACACAAACAGCACCACTAGCTGGAAAGAGAGCAAAAACAAAACAAACACCGCCGTAGAGCGGTTACTATAAACGAACACATTCTCACTCTTGCATTCAATTCGGCCGAGTGGGATTACGTTCACACATACTTTCATTCATCGGTACGACTCATTCATAGCGGCACCCTAACGGTGTGCGTTTAAATCAAAAACGAGCCAGTGCTGCCAGTTTGAAGGTAAGAACAACATTGTAATTTTTATTCAAGACTTACTTTATGGAAGTCGAACAATGTGAATTTTGTATGAAACAGTTGTTTCAAACGTCATACATAATGTCTCGCAACGACTTTCTCTTTTAATAGCCACAGCTTTATAAACATATTTTGCGCTAATTCTGCCACATAGTTGTTCTAGCATCCAGAATGGCACACAAATCAAGGAATGTGTTTGCAGTTGAATTATTAACGAAAGAGAAAGTCGACGAAGAGTATCGATTCGCGCGAACCGAAGCTCACCCACTCAAATTAACGACACCATCGGGTAGGAGAAATTCTTCGGTTCTCACGAAAAGGGCGTTACAAGTTCTGTTTACAACTGATGATAGATCCTTTCCAAATTTTGCGCGAATGCGTCCCCTGTTTTGGTTGATAACGATAAAACAAACATAAATTTGTGTTGTATACCGTTGACCGTTCGATGAACAACACGCAAGTTTTATGTCTGTTTGTGTTATTACGTTTTACTATGTACACAGAATTTGCGATCGAATTCACACACATGGATGCGATAAGCGAAAAGCAGGTACAATATTAAATCCATCTATATGAATTTGTTCGCAAAATCTGTGCAGGTAAATCGTGCAACGTATAATGTTAATCAATATTACAATTTGTTGTGTATAATGATGCTAATATTCCTTGATCCTTAAGTGATACGGAAATTACTTTAAAAAAAAATCTATAGAGATTGCTGACGTTTATTGTACGCACACTACGTCACGTATAAGTATACGCAAATTGTTTTCATCGGGAAAAAAAATTTCATAGCGGAAAAATTTCCTGCCGTAAACAAATTACTGACACAATCATACTTTAGTAATCTCTATAGGTAAATTCTATTTTCAAGAATTAATATCGACATAAGCAAATTTCAGATTGTCAAAATGGCACTTTTCGGCAACGCTGCTGTCTTCCAGACTACGAAGTAGTGGTGCTAGGGCTACATCTTGCTGGCTAGCTCTCACAGGCCGTGGGGTACAAATCGACAAAAGCTGCAAAGTGCCTAGGAAATTTCCTTCCCTGAAAATAAGAAGTGAACTTACAGCAGACTGGCTCGCAGGTAACTATTGCCTAATTTTCGATGGCAGTCGCCATCGACTGCGAGCTTTCAGCAGCCACTAGCAGGTCAGTTTTAGCTCATTCATATTAACCCATTTCTGGGGCAAACAGAATGTGCGACCTGGGTCTTTCCAACCCACGGATGACAGCAGCAGCTGCTCTTATGATTGCAATAGCACATAAAAATCTTGATGCACAAGCATTTCGCAAGAACCTTGAAACTGTGAGGTCAATGCGTTTAAATGTCTACCCTATCCGAACTGTAGCAGCAAGTGAAACTGATGAAAAGTTATCTTCCATATAATGTAAAAAAATGTGAGCTTCTGTCAAGTGAATATCCTCAACTTTTCCCATCCTACAGGCCATTGATTTTCCTCGTTAGTAATTCAATTAGCATCACAAAAGAATAATGACCGTTTAAAAGTGCGATGAAGAGTTGAACATTTCCATTTATTGCTCATTATGAGCGCAGTCGGTGCCCTGAAAAAGAAGTCATAAAAATATTTGCTCCCCACACGATAATGCTGCTAGCTTAGTTACAATATGACGACACACAGCGAAATAGCAGCATACACCACCGTGTATAAAATATGAATGGATGAACCAAAAAGGATTCATGGCAGCCGTCATCATCAGCGGTTTATGGCAGACGGCTGAGCGCTGGATAGTGTACATGGTGATAAGCAAGTGGAACATTACTCACATATCCGTTCAAACAGCGCTGGTCTTCTTTTTTTGTTGATCTTTTCAAAGGCATTGTGATTGCATCAATCCGATCAATCCTCTACTTTATAGCAAAAATCAGAACTGTTGTGCAATAATAATAAAACATACTGTCATACTTTTACTCATGGTAGTTACTGTCGATGGGTGAGATATTGAAACACGTGGACTACAAAACCAATAATTTATCTATTAGGTTAGAGTAAGGCAAGAGTTCGTTTCACCCCCAATAATTTTGAAAATAAATACTTTTTCTATGCTACCTTACCGATCCTCTTCAAATTAAACCACATACAGGGCTTTTAGTTTTTATTTGATTTTATTGGCACATTTGATTTATTTTTTATATGGTAACTGACGGCTTCGGCAAAAAAAATTATACGGTAATTTCATTGCATTTTCTCACCAAAACATTTCGCTTTATGTATCCAAACGATTCCTTAGTCTTTCAGCTTCAATCTGATTAGATAAGTATGACTGAGCAAACGCATTTTGCCAGGTGTTTCTTGGAATGAAACATTCGCACTACAAAATGCGTCTGATTTCAAGTTTGAGCAGGTTAACACGCAGTTCAAATTGAAAGGTGGCCGAAGAAAAATAGGTTGCCAACAATATTCACACTCACCTGAGAAGTTTGGAGCGTTGTAAAAACGTTTTCAAGCAGTTTTGGTCAATTTTGTCGATTTTAATGCATACAATAGCAAGCTGCAAATAAATGTAAACAAAAAAACACGTCAAATAAGTGCATGACGCTGAATGCTATTAGAAGCACGGACGCTGCATAGACTGACAAAAATATGTAAATTCCCCTATATTTAAAAATATTGTGAAATTCAATAGTTTTATTGAGTAAACAATAACAGCCGATATAGAAATGATAAAGAATGGGAAGGCTATGTTTATAAATGTGTATTAATCGGTTTCATTCCATTTTGGACGCATGGCCGTTTTGTCCCATAATGGTGAGTACCGTTGCCTTATTGCATTATCAAGGAAAGATTTGATTTAACATTTTTTTTAAATGCAAAAAAATCTTTTCATGTGATTTAATTTGCATTGTATTGCTGATCTACGACGACAATGATATAAAATTTGCACTCCTATAAATATTCACTATATATTCCAAATGAACACTCAATCGTTAGGGTGGCACATTTGCCCCACCATACCCTACGTGTCGCATGGTCGCACTCAAGTGGTTAAGTGCCAGAGTATTGGTCTTCTGATAACCAGGTGTGGTAAGGGTAAGAAGGGACTATGGCGCTATATTCATAATCTGACCGAAAAAAAGTTGCACAGAAATGATCTTTAATCAAGTTGGTGTCTTCGGATGTATTTGGAGCTGTTGAAATACTACGTATACATTTTTTTTTTTAGAGGTTTTAGAGCCGTCTCCCCTACCTAGACAATCGTTCATAAAAATTTTTGAAAATTTTTATGAACCGTATGCATTCGTCAAACAAAATTCACCCACCCTCAGGTGTCTACATGGTTTATGAACTGACAATTTACGACTGTAAAATCGCAGACAAACAGACATCACTCGACACTTGTTCATCGTGCACTCACTTAACGGTTTATTTGGAATTTTATTAGTTGATAGTGTGGCGCAGGCCCGGATTTGAGAGAAAGGGTTAGGGTGGCAATTGCTCCGGGCTCCCTAGGCCCCTCACGGATGCCGGGAAAATATTTGTAGTACCGCAAAACGGGGTGGCATCGTGCTCTCTTGGATCTAGGGATCTATTTGATTTTTTGCTGAAGGAAGTGTTACTGTTACCTAAAGCTACAACAAATTTAAACAGCACTTATCAGTTCTAAAGATTACCTGCACATGTTTTACCTTGTTCGATTATTATTCCTCTTCCTTCCGATCCTTGCTTGGACTCTACCCGACGTAATTCTGCTTGGATATCGATTTGGAAAATTCCTCACACCAAATTTGAATCGCTGAAAATCAGCAAAATTTTGCTGATTTTAGACTTGATGAAAGATCAGCAAACGTTTCAGAAGAATAATGCTGCTGAATTTTGCAGCAATTCCAGCTTCTGTCAAAATGACAACCTTTTACTGAAAATCTGCAAAATATGCCTAACGCATTGAAACGCCAATGAATTCATTTCGGCCTATCGGATGAAGATAAAAATTGATTCGGTCGGAGTGCTTCTTTTGGGAATAATGGGTGCAAACCTCCATATCACGCGTTTTCATTGACTTCGTTCGGTAGCTTATTAACTAAAGTATCGTACCAAGCGCATAATTAGCTTGTTAACTCTGATATAATGGATTTATTTGAAGTTTTCTGCTCTATAGGCCCAAAATGGGCGATTAGGCCGAAGTAGTTCTCTACCCTATATGTTTTTTTTAATGTTTATTATGTTATGACCATGCTTGAATGTATTTTTTACTATAGTTGATAAGGTTAATATCATTGGGGCTTAATCCAGCCTGTTGATTTAAAACAACAATAAACAATAAACTTCAGCAGAATTTTTCGGGGAGTCTTGATGAGAATTCTTCGGGGAATTTGTAGGTAATACGGCAAGAATTATTAAAATGTTTAAGACCATTGCAGAATGAATTCTACACTAAGAAAATTTCAAAGATTGTTCAATGTGTGCCACACATTAGTTTTTGCATTGTGATCAATAAATGATATCTATGTGTCGGACACATACTTAATATGTGTACACATAAAAGCCATACTATTCATTTGATACATAAATTTCATGTGTACTTCTGAGTGAATTCTGTTTATGTGTTGTCACATGAAAATCAATCGAAATTCGTCAATAAAAATGTGTGAAATTTTTTGAGTGGAAGAGAGTTCTACAGAAGAGTATTATGGAGCAAAATATAAGGGAATGCCAGAAAGAGGTCTAATGCAAACTCTGAGGATATTATGAAACGCTTCTATGTAAAATCTGCAGAAAATACTGCAGTAATCCCGTAAATAATTCCAACGGTATCAAGATGATTGAAACAGACAAATTTTCAAAATCCTGGGCACAGAAAAAATGTCAGGATGTTTACACAGAACAAAAAAATGTTAAATATTACATCCAAACAGCTGCACAGAGGTCATTCCGCTGGTTGTGTAATATTATGTTGTACGATGTACATCGATTTTGCGAACACAATTACATCCATTGATGTAATATTGTATCTGCTATTACATCCTTATTTCATACATACCATCTTGAATTAAGTTGATTTTTCTATGTACAACATTTCTAGATAGAGCTGGAATTGGGGCGTAACAAATTATGTAAACAATGACTTATCTAGTTGATTTCTAGGAATACAAGTCACGCCTACGCAAACCAACATACTCATTGGGTAGGGGTTTTTCCCTACTCGATGGTGATGTCGATTTGCCAGGGAGAGCCATGACTCTCGAGCAGGCATGGAAAATCATTTACATTCATTTACATTCATTTGTCCCTAACTTTATTCATCAACAGAATTCCGCAAAATGATGTAGGTTTTGTTATTAACTCCAACTTCTGCCATTAACTCAAATCTGTATCTCTTATGCATCACGAATTAGAGCGGGCAGAACTTGTTACTGTTTTTCAGTGAATGTAAAATGCATTCACTGAAAAACAGTAGTGGATTCTGTTTGCTCTGATTCGTCATGCATAAGAGATACGGATTTGGGTTTTTAACAAAAGTTGGAGTAATTAACAAACCCTACAAAAGCTTCATACATTATTTTGCGGAATTCTGTTGATGAAAAAAGTTAGGGGCAAATAAATGTAAATGAATGCACTAATTTTTTTTTTCCTTTGGTTTGTTTTTTTCCGTCGATCTTGTTTTCCGTGCTGAGCACCAATGCTACCGACGTGCCAGGAAGGCAGCTCCCACACCTGGACCCTACCTATCGACCCATCAACTCATGAACCGGGGACCAACGGCTTTACTTCCCATCCGAAGGAAGGCGTGATCAGAGATGTTATCCCTCAGAACATCCCGGCGGCGCCGACTGGGATTGAACCCAGGCCTGCTGGGGTGAGAGGTAATCACGCTTACCACTACACCACCGGCGCCGTTTAATGCACTAAATGAATGCAAATGATTTTCCATGCCTGCTCTCGAGAAATCATCGAGAGAAGTCATTTTTTACAAAAGCTGTTACACCCTATTCCAGACCTATCTAGATTTTATAATGCTGGATTAATATTAAATAAGAGGTTTTCATGTTCCAAAACAAACGAAAATATTGAAATGCCGAACTTCGTAATGTCTTTAGCAGCCATAATATAAAACAACATGAACAAGCTTGTTTCTCGACAACGGGACAGGTGTATTCAGAGCATCGAAGCATTTTACAGGATTGGTGTTATCACAGACAAACAGACGTAACTTTTCATTCTGAACCATAGTTCACGCATTTAACGATTGATTTTAATATTATCATTTCCGCAAACTACTCACCGCAGCCCTGGCATCGGATCACTTTGACGTTTCAATATATTCTGTTTACCTTGCGTGCAACATTGTTTGCGACTTAGCGAGCAAGCTTGTTTTCCACGAGAAGCGTCGAGAGATGTCGTTACTGACAGTGAAGATTGCTGACTTGAAATTAATCAAAATGTCGGAGACTTATTTTTGTTATTCTGGCGCTTCGAAAATTTTTCAAGATTGAGAAATATTCAATGTGTTATGTATGTTTGTCTGTGATCTTACCATCTTACATCTTTTACCAAACATAACATATTTAGCTGTAAATGGAGGTCGATCAGTGGACGGGTACTACATGCTACCCCACTGCACTACACGAATCCATTAAGCACCCGACTGCAATAATTTTAATTTCCTCGTGACTTATGTAAAATCTAAACGATGTCACAACGATGGACATTTACCAATAAAATGTCATTTTCCTATCCATTGGCAACAATAATGATTGAAAGTTTATCACATTAGCTAGCTGTTGGCAAACATGCGGGGAAGATCCAGGAAAAATGCAGGAATTTCAAAATTGAGATAAAGTGGCCACCCATAAAGAGAAAACATGAATATTTGTATACATATTATAATATTATTATACCACATGATGTTAGCACTGACTGTCAAATGTCTATGTATTATTTCATTTTTAATAGTGGAACTATCCCGTGCTGATTCTGATTTTTCCCCCAGGATTGTTTATTTACAAAATCATGGGACGACGATTTATAGAGCAAGAATTTTGGCGGCAAAATCCAACATCTGTCCTATTCCGAGTGAGGAATCCTGTCGATGGCCAACACGAATGGGTGGAAGTTGTAAGCTGAACATCTCCGGCTGCTTCATAATATACACCACTTCTGCTAACATCTGGATAGCAAACATTCAAGTGCTGATTGAGGAGGAACGTGGATGATACAGGCACTTTTCACCAATTACAAAACAAAAAAACTCACTGGTAAAACAGTAAATTACCGCCGCGGACAGTACAACTCTGTTAAGAACCCCCACAATTTAAATTATTTCAGCGGACACTTCTTCCACCACCAGCATTTATTTTTATGTTTGATTACTGTCACAGAATGGCGATCACTTTGCTGATTGCGTTTGATTACATTGACAAAATGCATCAACATTTGTTGTTGAATAAACTATATTTTTTTAAATTTAAAAATATGTAGTTTTGAATTGAAAAGAAAATATTGTAAATTCAATTATTACTAATTTTTTAAACAAAACCATCGAAACTCAAAAATCAAAACAGATTTTGTTTTGTTTCAACTATATGAAATTTCTATGCCTGTAGCAATGACGATGACAATGAGCTTTCTAAATAACAATTTTGGTTTTATGAAGGTTCTGTAGACCATGTATTGTAGAATGCTTTAAAACCTTCTTGCAATGTTACTTGAGGACCCAAAAAGATAAAGAAATAATTTTTGATAGGAACGATAGAAATTCTCACATTTATATTTTTTCTGTTGCAGGTACCGATTGAAGTAGAAACCCAACGGTCGTCAATAACGGTGTATTGCTGGACGTAATTTGCACTTTTATCCAATCATATTTCTAAGTAAGTGACACTTAGAGCACGTGTGAAGGCAGAATTTGGTATACTAGCACCTATAACAAAATGAGCAGCAGAGACAGCATCAGCTTAGCCAAGCTTAAAGGCCAAAAATGGCGGTTGTTCACTGATATTCCAAACAAGTTGAATGGTTTGGACTGTAAGTATACAGTCATTAATTTCTATTGCCATTAGGTTCTATATAGGAAAGTAACCATACTCTTTGTTCATTTGTAGCTGAAGATGAGGACATCCCAATAAGCGAACTTGGCGGAGAACACCGCAGCAAGTCTACCAAGTCCCATGGCAGTCACCATAAAAACTCCAGTAGAAATTCGTCCTTTGCACCGTCGGTAGTGTCCAGCACCGGTCACCATCGGAATAGTGTCAACAACCGACAGAGAGGTAGCGTAATGAGACTGGATAAGGCCGATATGGGACTGTACGGATTGTGTCCAGAAACCGATCCGTTCTATGCTGTAATCTGTGATATTTGTGGCAGCGTGGTTAAACCACAAGGCCTTCAGAAGCATATGATAAACCGTCACCATTCCTACTACAGTCACGCTACCAAGAATTTGTCATTGTTGCATAGCACTCGCGATCATCACTTCAATCATGAATTGACTGCTCGAAGCTCTATCAGTTCTAGTGATTCCAGTAGGTCCGATAAACTGCACCAGTCTTCTGGTGGCAGCTCTTCTAAGCACGAAGACTTGGATAACACACCACTCAAGATCCGAAGCAGCAGTTCCAGCTCGAAACTGAAAGGCAAAAATGGCAAGAGTGTTTCTTCATCGCACAGTTCTTCACACCACAATGGGAAATCGTCCAGCTCTAGTAGTAGTTCAAAGTTGTCTATACATGAGTCTAACCCACCGACGGAATCCATCAGCACGGTTCCTAGTTTCCGGGATCAACTGAAGCACGAATCTTCTTCAAGTGTAGCCTCGACTAGTACTAGCATTTTAGACAAAAAAGCCTCGTCCACTTCTACCTCATCTGGTGTCAGCAGTGATAGCACTTCATCCATCAACACGTCACCATCGGGAAAGGGGGGAAAGCGGAGCAGCTCCAAGGTGGCCTCCTCCGCTTCCTCGTCCTCATCCTCATCTTCATCGTCATCGTCTTCTTCATCATCGTCGTCCAGTACGACAAGTGGCAATGGTAGTAGCAGTAGTAGTAGCACCAGCTTTTCCGCTACCAGCAACAAAATGCAGTCTTCCACCAGCGACAGGAAAAATGACAGACGGGAATACGACCCGGAAAAGCATTGTGGTGTGGCATCTGTGGACGGTAAGCGGCACTGTACCCGCCCATTGAACTGCAAGTCTCATCCACTTTCTTCGCGGCGAGCTGTTACAGGTAGAAGCAAGAACTTTGATAAACTGTTGTCAGATCAAAAGAGTAGCACACCAGTTAAGGATGAGGTGAGTGTTCGTCTTTGTGAAAACAATTATTCATATTCTGTTATTAATTCAACAATTGCATTGCAGAGCTATATCGAAGTGGAATCATCGAGCAACTCGTCATCGGGTTTCGAGGCTCGTTCTGCCGGTGTAGAGGTGTCCTTCAACGCATCAACCGATGGGGCCCATCTCCTGTACACTCCCGAGAAATCTAGTCCACGCAACGAAAGTGCTCCATCAACCCCAAGCAGCCTCAAGACCACCAGCAGTTCCAGCATTGCTTCATCTCCATCGGCGAAATCATCGGAGTCCAAAAGCGATCGATCTAAGCACAAGGCGCGTTCGTCTGGTTCTAATTCATCGAAAAATAATGTGTATCACGAACCATTACAACCCTTGCAACAAATACAACAAACCTTGGCTCCACCGACAGCATCGACCCCTGTAGCTTCCATTCAGTCCATTCCCGTTACGCAACAGCGGCTCAAGCAACAACAACAACAAATCGCTATCCCCGAAGCGGCCGAAATTCTCGCTCAGCACTTTGCCGAGGAAAATCCCAATACGGTTCTCTCGGATGCTACAATAGTTATGGATCCTAATACAAACATGCTGAAGCTTTCCGTTTCCGGTACTCTACATCCCACAAATGAAATTGAAACTCCAGAAGAGTCTATACAGCAATTCGCTACCAACCTGATGCAGGAACAGTTGACCGTTACGGTTCCATTATCTGTGATATCTTCAATGAATATTTCCGGAACCAACTTGGTTAACGTTAATGCCGGGATTGATGATCCGAATGCAATCACTTCGACGACAGCTGCTTTGAATGATGGCACGACCGTTGCTATGCATACTGGGGAAATTTTAGCTGCGAATGGCATACCGACTGAGGCGGGATTAACTAGAACGGAGCAGTTTATTTCGGCAGAACTGATCAATCAAATACCGCTGGTGCAGGCTGCAGATAGCAGTGAATTACATGACCCTAATCAATATATAGCTACGTCTACAAGCCAAGAGCTAAGTGAACATGCATTAATCTCGAATTATAGCGATCAAATCAACTACACCCTGCAAACATTAGCTCAAAACCTGCAAAATGCTGAACAAATGAGTGGTCAAACCCTTCAAGCAGACCTATCTGAGAGCATAGACGACATAGTACCAACCATTAACTTGCTTCCGGCGGCAGCAAATCCGCTGGTATTGCCTACGCTTCAGGCTGACTTGGCTGACTCCATCATACTCACTCCAAATCAACTCACTACAATTTCACAATCTCTCGTTGATCAACATTTCATCGAAAATGTCACTTTGAAGCCGGAGTTGGAAATATTAACCGTCAACACACCCGTAGATATATCCAAATTGAACCTCTTGAGAACTGTTGACGATGAGTTCATAAAAGAACGCCATCAGCAGCAACAACAGAGCAATACGATGTACCACGCTCAAATTGACGAATTCCGTGGAGTGAAAATGTGGTACAGTAATCTGCCCAAGCCTCTCCATGTGAACAATTTCCAGTTACGGAAGTTGGGCGGAGGATACGTCGTCAACCGGAAGTTACTGAATATTCGCAAAAATTTAGTCAATGAATCAAACAACCTAGCCAAATCGCTCAACTCACAGTTATCTCCCATCGGTGGTCCACGCAGTGCGCTCAATTTCAACACTTCCGGTGCCCGTTCCGGCGATCTTCTGTCGCCAATCTCCGGAATGGGCAAAAGTAAGGACACCAATGGCGGTTTAGGTCTACCAGGTTCTCCAGTAGGCAACCGACTAGGGCAAGTTAACCGTGGCCAGCGACGGCTGATACTGCCACAGGCTTCGATTAAGAAACCAACCGAAAAGACTTCTTGTATGCTTAGTAACGCGTACTTTAAAAATCTAATTAGTTCAATGCAACAACAGCAATCTACTAGCCATCAAACCAGTAGCAGCACGCAGAGTCTTAAGCGACCCGCTTCATCGTTGACCTCGTTGTCCAACAAACGTTTGAAGATCATTAATAATTTGCAAAATTCAACCGCCCCACCACAGATGCTGCTACAGGGCAGTGGAAAAGTAAAGCCAAAAGTATTATAATTAGTGATTAGGATCTATAATCTCGATAGCTCCGGAGGCGACACCGACGACAGCGAATAGAGAGCTCAAGATCCTGGAGTACACAACAAATGGGAGAAAGGAATACACTTAGTCATTCGAATGCTGAACACACACTGTTGCTGCAATTACAGCCCCGGTTGGCTCTAGCGCGTAAACGGGAATATTATGGACTGAACGAAGTTAAAATAATGTTTGTCTCTACGTATATATATATACATAAAAATAATCAAGATTATTGAACAAATACTATGGTAGATATAATGACACATTAGAAGGGGCGTTTTTTTTTGGGACGAACTTTTAAATAAATCGTAATTTCTGATCATTCACCTACATGAGTTTGTTCTTGTATACTTGTTAAACTTGCCTCGCAGAAAGGCAACGATTGTATTAAATCGATTTATTTATTTAACAATAGAAGTGTAGAAAAAGTAAGAGAAAATTGCTTTATTTATCTTTCACCTAAAACTGCAAAAAAGTTACATTATTTTACGTTTCATTAGTTTCAAAACAAATTCTTACTGAAGACGTCCCCCGTTAGCGTAATTGTACTGTGTTTTGCTTTCGTTGGCAAGCAGTTTCCTATAGTAGATGACTGTATGCTACACAGTTACTACTGGTTTGTTCTAAATGGCTGAAACCAACAGTGAACAGTGCTTTGAGGTAGACTGGAATTGGAACTTCAAATCGGCACCATTATTGGAGATATTTTTTGGTTAAAAGTGGAACATAGCACGTTATGTGGTTCACCGCACCGTTTCACCTAACAGTTGATGAGACCGAAGCAAAAGTTGGTGGTTGATCTAAACTAGGCTCATTGTTGATACGCGAAGCGTCGGTAAAATTACAGAACGCAAGGTAAAAACATTACCTATGTAATTGAACTATATATAAAATGAGAAATATATGAGACAAGACTAAAAAATGAATGACAAAACTACAGTTCTGTAATTTAATCTCTTTTTGTAATGAATCCAAATACACGTAAACTAAAATTCTGTGTTTTACATGTTGTTAGAGAAAGGTGCCCTGAGTTTTTCAATATAGAATCGCCACCATTTTTTCAGTGATTATTGCACATTTCGCCCCAGATTAGATACCCAGTAAAATATACACACCGCTTTCAGCGTTATTGGTTCCGGTGCTTCAATTTTCAGCAGCGGTGATCGGGGATGCTTTTCTGGGTGGCGTATCGAATAATATGCTATTCCCCTTATAATTTGAAGAGTGAACATATGTTTTACTCCATCGAATATTTTCACAAAAATCTATCAGATATCATTTTCTGAAAGTTTAATATTTTTAGGTATGCTTACATGGTATAAGAAAAAGGGTGTCCCAGAAAGTATCAGTAAGGAAGTTGGGGAAAATGGAGGAAGTAAGTATCGGAGCAGTCCAAACCGCCATTCGGAAGTTCGGTGAAGACGTTACCTTCGAGGACACATCAAAATCTGGCCGTAAACCGGGACCAGTGTACCGAAAAGTAGACCAGAATATCACCAAGCTTTCGTCAATAAGAAAAGTACCTTTGTTCGAGATTTGGCCAGAAAAAAAACTGGGAACATCGAATAATAACGTCAAACGTGCCAAGGAAAGAAACGTGTTGAAAACGTTATCATGGGCGATGAAACATACGTCACATTTGACTACATGACGCTTCCGGGAGACCAATACTACACAGTCCTTGATGGTCAGGAAGTTGACGATGCCGAAAAATTTGGTAAGAAGGTCATGGTTTGGCAAGCGATATATGAGTATGGCAAGTTGTCAAAGCCATTTGTGTCAAACAAAGTGCAATACGTGCCAAAAGAGATGAATCCTTCGAATTGTCCGGAGGCCCGGTAAATCGAAACTTTTTGGGCCCTTTCCAAGGGATATCTACGTGAACTAGTGTTTAAGAAGAATTTGAAAAAGACTGGACATAAGCGGCCAAAATTATCGCCAAGGAATCTGTGCTGAAGCTCATGGGCAGCGTCAGATCAAAAGTTCGCTCCTTGGCATACGATTAAATGAACTGCGGATTATTTTCATCCAATTGAAAGAGAATACTATAGAGAACATATAGGTATATGAAATAAAATGTTGAGTTCATTAACATAACGTTGTTTTATTCCAATCATAAACTGTGCTTATTGCTTGGGTACATCCTACAGTAGGGTAATGGATTATGGTTGGAACTATTTATGTCATTGTAATGATCGGTCAAATGTGTAAACCCTTTGAGCGATTTTGCGGTCTTCTTTTCTTTTCCTTTATTTAACGTCGGTCTCTGTTCCGCAATCTAGTGCCATTCACCGACGGACATCGGTTGCCATCCATTGACGGCAATCGAATGTGCAAGAAAGGCAGCTTCCACACCTGTGTATAGGATATCGTACCCATTCAACACACACGGGACCAACGGCTTTACTTCCCTTCCGTAGTAGTAAAACTTTATTCTTGCAGTGGCGTTTGGAAGCGTGCGTGAAAAGAGCCGTGAAGCAAGAAGAAATTTGTGTCTTATAGCGAATTCGTTTATTATTCAGTTCCAACCTGGATCGGGTATCAAGATTGGGTCTGCTTGTTTTCTGACAAACGTCAGTTTGCTCGTTTGTTTTTAAAACCTAGCTCAGGTTGAGGTTCGCACTGACAAAAAGTTCGGTTTCGCACTGGGTTGGAACTGGTTCCAACCCCGATAATAAACGAATTCGCTATTAGTGTGACGGTTGCTTATGATTGTCAGTGAGCGAAACAGAAGGTGATAATTCCGGAGTGATTTGAGATTTGGGCGTGATTGCATTTGTACACAAACACGTCAATCACCGATTTCTCGCGAATAAAAGCTCAATCTCGAAAAGTAATAACACTATGAGGTAGAGGAATGATTCCTCTATCATTTGGTATAGTTTGTTTGTGAGATTGAGCTTTTATTCAAGAGGAATCAGTAATTGACGTGTTTGTTTACAAAAGCAATTACGCCCAAATCTCAAATCACTCCCGAATTAGCAGCTGGCACTGTGAATACGGTAAAAAAAGTGATAAAAGCTTGTACAGTTTGTACAGAAAGTATTCGAAGCCGTCATTTTGAAAAATAGATGGCTCATGGTCTATGAAAAGAACCGTGGCCATTGTAATTCCAATTGTTCCACTTGGTCTGCCATTTCAATAGCGCAGGAGTGGAAAGCAAGACGAAGAGTGAAAAAGCTGATTTTCTTTGCTAGGTTTGGAAAATAGCAGCCTAAAATTGGTGAGCTCTGGAAGGTATAAAAAAAGTAAGCAGTTAATCATATTGAACTGGCAGAGAACAATTACAGCCAGAATATTTCAATAAGTGATTTACGGTGGATAAGAAATTAACGTACGTCGAAGGGTTACGATACATTTTTCAAAATGGCGGCTTCGAATACTTTCTGTACAACCTTTTATTACTTTTTTTTTACCGTGTTCACACGTGCCAGCTGCTAATTATCACCTTCTGCTTCGCTCACTGACAATCGTAAAGCAACCGTTACACTAAGAAACAAATTTCTTCTTGCTTCACGGCTCTTTTCACGCACGCTTCCAAACGCCGCTAAAAGAATAAAGTTTTTCTTTCCTCACTATTTCACTTTTTTCAACAACTTTTTTTTTTAATTTTAGAGAGTAAGATTGTACAGATCAAGTAAGGGCCCATGCATTAATTATGTCACGCTAAATCGAGCAAAAAATTACCCCCTATCCTGACGTTTTTCCTATACCTAATGCATTGCTTGTCACAAAATCTTAGACCCCCCCTCCCCCCTTAAAGCGTGACATAATATAATATAATATGCATCAACCCTAAGTCATTTCACCCTGTTTTTATTGCGTTTTTGTTGTAGGGTATTTGCCATTATATACGTACTGTTTGCGCCAGCATGTCTGCCTTATACCCCGTTCACATTACATCCTATATCACGTAATATAGGCTGTCTTGCAATGAGCACTCATACATAGGATTTCCAGTGAAAACTAGATGTATGAGTGCTCATTGCAAGACAGCGTATATCACGTGATATACGCTGTAATGTGAACGGGGTATTAATTGGAGCCGTTGACCACTATGTGCGTGGTTCTAGCATAGAGGCACGCAGAGAAAATTGACCTTATTGAAACAAAAAAAAAAAAATATTGAAATATTTTGCAATGTCAAATATAACTTTTTTTGAATTCAATATTTATATTTTGTAGCTTCAATTTTTTTTTGTTGTTTTCATTGCAAATTCTGAAAACAAATATATTGTAGATTCAATAAAATATATTTTTGTCTTCAAATATTATTTTAACTACTTTTAAAAAATATATTGTTAATTTAAAAGCAACACTTTAACAAAACATACACAGGCTCATTTTGTAAGTGTATGTGTGTGTGGAACAATGTTGTTTCCTATAAGCTACCCAATTTTCTGAAGGCTCTTGACATTTGCATGAAATTATTCAAAGCATACAATATTGATCACCCGCGACACTCATCAGCAGTATGGGACTTGCTTTCTACATTCCTGTTTGACTTTGATCCTGTTAGCGACAAGGCTATACACTGTGTTCAGCTATACGAAAGAATCGGTCATCACAATGATTTTGTAAAACCATGTAAAACGATGCTCGTGGACAACTAATTCTATCGACCGATTGTATGACCATTTAAAAAGGCATCACCAACAAATCAACATATACACATGTAATTATGAGAGCTGTACTAGTAGTTACAATGTTCGAGCATCATTTTTCAGACATTTAAAACAACACTTGGGCAATAAAAACGATCATAGAAACATAAATGTGGGTGAAATTCAGGAAGACAGGAACGAATGCTGTACAACTAAATCCGAACGCAACGGAGCACAACCATCGCAACCAAATAGTCGTCGCAACAGCAACCACGTTTCAGAATTTGATATCGAAACACCTACTCTTGATGTTCATGATGATTCTAGCACAGACAAACAGACATAATACATTGAATATTTCTCACTGTAAAACATCGCCGCTAAAACATTACCACCACAGACAAACAGACATAACACTCGGAAGTTGTTCATCGAATAAGCATTTAACGGAAAATTTAAAAGTATCGTAGTTGGTAGTACCACCACCTGTGGCGCGCATAGTCAATTCCCTTGCGTTTGACGTTTACACACTACCACCATCTGTTCAGCGTAGTGCCCACTAGAGTCGGTGTATAATGAGTCACGCCAAGAGTGAAGCCAAGTCTACCTATTGAACTGTCAAACCGGCTACCTATCGTGCAAAGTAAACAAGCATTACGATGCTATGAAAGGTCCACGAAAGGTATTGCAATTAAATATAAAATATAATCGAAGAAATGATCATAAACACGCAGTGAGCATTACATTTGTCATGCGATACGTTTTGTAATGATCAGTAATGAAAATTTCTACTATTTTTCTTTAAGATAATTCGACAAAATCACTGATATAATGATTAACTACAGCCGTTAATTTTTTTCCTCGCTAGAAGTCATTTGAAGTTGATGCAGAAGTCCTCTGTTGCCAAGTTCAACTGTTTTTCTCTTGGCGTGACTCATTATACACCGACTCTAGTGCCCACCACAGTGTACTCAACAGATGGTGGTAATGTTTTAGCGGCGATGTTTTACAGTGAGAAATATTCAATGTATTATGTCTGTTTGTCTGTGTAATTACTAAATTCCTTGTCTGCCAGGTTTTATTCTGGCCAAATTAGAAGACAGAAAAGAATACGATTTATTCAGTAACCTAGTAGAACTGTTAATCGATTTAGAAGTTAATGGCCTAAAAATAACTCACAATATCGCAAGTATCACTGTTCATTTCATGATAGGATTTATAACGGGCGATAATCTAGGTATCTCAGGAATTCTGGATTTGGTCGAATTGGCTAGAGCAAATTTTTATTGCAGAATGTGCAAACGTAACCGTGAACAACGTGAAAAGGATAGTACAGAATACGAACAAAGTTTCAGGACGATTGACGATACAAAATGATGTTTCAAACACTGGTATTCATAAGAACAGTGTTTTCAATCAGATTCCATCATACCACGTTGTTTAAAATGTTTATTTTGACTTAATGCACGACCTATGGGAAGGCGTTTGCGTAAACTATTGCATCAAAGTGAAAAAAAAATTTACTATTGATGAACTTAACTGTAGGAAGAACGTTTTCGTTTTCGGAAGTTTGAACTCATCGAACATACCAAATGACATCAAAGACACGAACATACTTTAAAGTAAAGTAAAAATGACTGCCAGTGAAATCAAAACAATAATAACATTTTTTCCACTAATAATTGGTATGTTGATCCCGAAAGATGATGCTGTTTGGTTATATTTTTGCAGTCTTTTGAAAATTTGCCATATTTTAATGTTTCGTGAAATACATCCAACATTATTAGACACATTGAGAACGTAGTTGATATTCATCACACGCAATATCAACAACTATTTGATGATACATTAAAACCTAAACATCACAATATCGTCCACTACGCATCTTTTGTACTACATTTGGGTACACCTCGCCATCAATGGGCAATGAGAGGAGAAGGTAAACACCGAGATGCCAAACAGTACAGCAGGGTAAATAACAACAAAACGAATCTATGTAAATCTTTGAGTATAAAGGCGGGTATAAATTTGCACTCAACGTTTACAACAACGCTTTTATTACCCCAAAAATAGATTTCAGCAAATATAAAATCTTGCCGCCACCTCCTTCCAATAATGATTTTCAATTATTTGTGACAGAAAAAATACGTTTACTAGATATTTCAGTACAATTATTAGACAGTTTCATGATACAGGGATCGAAATTCAGCAAAGGTACTATTTTATATGTAAAACATTGTAATATTATCAATATGTTTGAGCTGGACTGTATAATGATAGACAAAAACAATAATCTAATATTAGTTTGCCGTAGCATGCAATGTCGTTATTTTGACGAACATTTGCAATCTTTTGAGGTTTATAAATCACAGGATCCTACATTGGTTTCAAACATTGCCCGTTTCGAAACGCAAACTATTAATTTATATACCGTTAATGAAAGGTCATACTTCCGGTTTTGTAATTTTTGCATAATGGATAAACCTATTGAATTACTAATTGTACACTCGTTTGTTAATAAATAAAAAAAATGAAATCAAAAACATTTTTTCAATTTATTTAAAATTATTTCTTGAAAAGAAAAACTGCTAAAATTAAAAATTAAAATATTTAAGCCAAACCATTTTTTTTAAATTATAAAAAAAAACAAATTGTTATTCGCAGCATTTTTTTTTTTAAATCAAAGAAAGTTATTGTTGATAGCAACTTAAATTTTTTTTTTTGATTAAAAAAAGATTTTGTCTGTTTGAAAATAAATATTGTAAATTCAACAAAATATATTTTTGATTGCGTTTTTGACAGATTTTGAAAACAACAATATTTTATGTCCGAACAATAAAGATTTATTGTTGAATTCAATAAAAAAAAAGTTATTAGCCGGGGAATGATAATTTTTGTTGTTGTTTTAATACATAATATAATTGAAATTAAAAAACTTTTTTCTGCGTGTAGAATGAGTATACATTGGGGGGCGACCCCGGCGTAGTGGTTAACATCCATACCTCTCACGCCAAAGTCACGAGTTCAAATCTCACCCCCCGGACAAGTCACGAATGACCCAAGAGTGTTAAAGTGACCATAATAAACAAAAAAAAATAATAATATACATTATCTTTCCGGTGCGATTGGGGTTTTCCCGCATTTTCCCCGGCAAATCCGAATTCCCGGTTGGAACAGTGTTCTTTATTCGTCCAAATACAAATCCCTAATCAAAGCCATACAAAGTCAAGAAACTTTGCTAAAGACGTCAAGTTGAAATTGGATGCTTTCCCAGACCGTTATTGATCTATTCCTGCAAGAATATCATCAGAAATTTGAGAGGAAAGTGGAGGTGGATTAAAAAAGGGCTGAAACGAAATCTGCAAGCAAGCACTTGATTGGAACTCGACAGGACTGCGCAGCAAAGACAGAACCGGTACTGGTGGTCAAAAGGTACTGGAGCATTAGCAAAAAATAAAAGAAGAGTCAAAAGTCCTTTATGCTGATCCTCTGCATCACTGCAAGCACTGAACAGGTACTCACACAAAAAATTATACTTATTACATCAGAGTTGGAGGAGAAGGAATGGTTTTCGGAAGAAATTACGGCTCGGCACACAGGAGTCTAGAATAGTTGCCTTACTTTATTCATTAATTTCCTCTATTAGAAACGTTCACTTATAGTATTTTAAATCTGTCGATATATTATCATCTCATTATATAATCTGCGAGAAGTGTTTCCAATAGTGTTTTTCTGTCTCTTTTTTTTCTGTTTTCTTCACGTTGATGTATATATAATATGAACTTTTGTTCAATTTTTGCTTAAAACTAAGTTCATGCACATATGCATTCTCACTTATTGATCCAACTATTCGGTAAATGCATTCTCGTATTTACTCTGGCTTCATCCTAAAGAGTCCATTCATATTCAAATACTTCATACAATTAAATCTTCTAGCAGATCGCATTACCTTCATCAGAACAGAAGATCGTCCGTAGTTTGGGACCGTAAGAAGCTCGCCAGAATGGTTTGCTAATTTCGTACCCTATCTACGGTACTATTTCAAATGGGTCAGCAAGGGTTGTAGGTTTTGTGTGATCATATTGTTCGTGTTGCGTCGTCGTGGATTGCACATTGTATTGCAAAACATGTTTCATTCAACAGTGTTTAATTACACACCTATTTACAGTTATATCACCTAGGTTATTTCTACAAACTGTGTATACTTTTGTAATGGTTGGAAATTGAAGATTTATGTGAGAAAAAAAAAGTACGATTGGTAGTAAAGCAGTCAGCTATGTTGGTGAATGCATAAAGGTGATGTTGGAAAAACGATTAAAAAAAAAACTTATCTTGATGGTACAGTTTAGTTCCAAATTAAATTTGAAATTGTAGTTTTACTACCAGTCTCTTTGAAAACAACATATTTCGATAATCGTTTTTACAGCATTCAAATTAGACAATGCCCTAGCTGATCTGCATTCTAACCCTCTGCGAAAGTTTACTGTTTTGCGATTGTATGTGATTCTAAATTTAATACTGGATAGTTGCAGTAACACACAGCTTGTACAATGCAGCGGAATTGTATATGTATCACTAGATAGATATTTGCCACTCAATACTACTCACAATTATAACCTACAAGAATGTGTTGGTCGAAAACACACTGTCCTGCCAAGAGGAGGAGTCTCTGGGAAAGGGAAACCAATGTTGTTTGTTTACATGTCTATTATGATGTAAATGTCTGTCTGTTATAGTTGTGTAACATCGTTACAGAGATAAACTTCATAGTTTTCATAATTTAATTCAAATAGTTCTTATTATGCATGAATTTAAATTATCTTACCATGTAAAAACTTTACACGACGATACAAAATCGTTAAACCACTCGCAGTGGTTTTACTTTCTAGCTTACGAAACAAAAATTTATACAAAGACACTCACACTCGTAGATACAATTTATTACTTCAGCATTGTAGCCATTCCGGCGAACTTGCTGTGACTAGGCGCTTGATATGACGAAGAAGATTGCGATGACGTTGATGCCAGATGCAGCGAAGATTTTCCACGTCCTCCGCCACCAGCACCTCCGCCGGTACTGCTGCCACCACCAACACCGGCTTTCTGTGGCTTTTTGTTAGCAATTTTGTCCTGCAACTTTCGCAGAAGCTCTTCGATGTCATCCAACGAGTACGTGTAGGCTAGTTTGCAAAACTTGGCCGGTAACCGACTGTCCGATAGGAACTTGATGGCATGTTTGAGACAGTATATCCGTTCATCCTCGTCAAGCGTCTCATCATCGTCGCCGGTTATTTTAACCCGAACCAAGGATAAGTACAGATTAGCTCTACAGATATCGCATTCGAATTCCTCCAAAGAAGCGGTCTTCTTCTTGGATTCGATTTTCTCTGTTTTGTTGACACCGTGATCCTGGAAGAAACCGAATTGAATGAAAGGCATGATTTTTAATGAGAATGCGTGCATATACTGACCTTTATCGTTTGGCGCTGCTGTTTCTCCTTATCGTAGATGTCGTTTATCGTTGGTATTATTTGCACCAGGGTGTCGTGATTGCTGCGCTGGTCGTTTGCAATGGCAAATACTAGTTGTTCCACGGAGAACATGGTTGGTTCGCAACTTTCTTGGATGTCCTACAATGTAAAGCATAAGTGGATACTAATTCCTAATCATTTAACCTAAATGCTAACAACTTACCCTAAAATCCTCCTTTGCAGTGTCTAGCCATGAACTGGACGCAAAGTATACGCTCTCGGAAACAGCATATCCGGAGCAGAGGCTGGACGTGTAAGCTCTTGGGAATACCACCACAAATTGGCCAGGTTGCTGTTCAGTTCGACAGAGCGAAACATTCCGGTCGGTTAGCATATGTGGTGGAACCATTGCCGTGTCGCAGGGTAACCAGATGGTTTTGTTTTGACAATGCGTTGGAACTAATTGCGTTAAAGCGGCCCGGAAGTTTGAATTTTGATCATCGGGAACGCCGTACCAGATTTTACTGGCACCGGTATGCAGATACTCGATCCACGGTAAACCATGAGGATCACGATACCAGCAACAAGCGCTAAAGAGCATTCCCACGTGCAGCGTCGGAATGGTGATACCCATCACCGGTCCAAGCGAACGCAGTATCGAGCTGCTGTTATTGGTAAGGACTTTTAGATTCCAAGGATGTTTCGCACACGAGGAACCTTTAATTTTGGGCGCTGGAAATCCAAACCCATAAGCACTGGAATCAATAGAACCAGAATGAACGCAAACATGACTATCCCGAACGGCAACATGTCGCCAGTATTCACTTTCGATGTCGGCCACGGTCGGTTCCGAATTCTTAAACCACAATGCCATCGTATTCCGTGCTATCCGGAAGAATTGATTCAAGGGCATATTTCTTCCCTTCATAATGCACTCCATTGAGCGTTCATCATCTTCCTCTTCCTCGTTGGAATCCTCTTCATCCTCATCCGAATCTCCGCTGTTGCGTATGTCAGAACTAACACATTTATCAGCATTCCGACGAGCTTTCGCTTCCCGTTTGGCCCAGTCTGCTTCCACTTCATCGAATAGTTTCTGTCTTTCGGCCGGTGACAGAGTGTCGTACGGAAGTAGATACTTACAGTAAATGTCATCGAGTTTCGAAACACGATCGTGAGCAGCTTTCGGAAAACACATATCCTCCGAAACGCGAGCCCATTTCTTTTTTTCGATCACTTCTTTCAAACCACCTAGCTCTTGTACAGTGTGATACAGCCTTGGAAGATCTACTTCCATGCCACCGATCAACGGTGGACTTTGCAAATTGATGCTTTGCGTAGCCAGGTATTTCTTGATCGCGGCATACTCTTTAGCACTTGGTCCCCACCGATGGAGCATTTTATGTACGTACTGATTATAGGCCATGAAGCGCATATCGTCTGCTATCCGGCATTCGGGTTTAAAGCTAGCCGGCGGTATAATGCGACAGATTCCGAACCGAGCCGCAACTGGAGCGATTCTTTCAATATACTCTATTGGGTCGTGGAATTCTTTGTCGTTTGGTTTAAAAACGGGAGCCTCAACCATTTGGGCAGGATCGTCTCGTCGTGGGAAGGCCGTGTTATTGTCCGGTTGAACTTGAGTATCAATTTTTGCTTTCGCCTTAGCATTCTTCGATCTCTGCGATGAATTGAGTGACGAATTTGAGTTGATACGCGAGAGACCTCCTCGGGTGTCTTCCGGTGCTGGAGTTGAAGGAGCAACTACTGCTGCCGATACAGATGGAGCTGGTGTCTTATCAACTACTGTAGAATCACTTGATTTGAACCGAGGTTGAACCGTCCCAACTGGAACCATCTTGGAGATTCCATCTTTACTCATTCCCGGACCAGCCGCCATGAGACTTTTGACCAGCTCTTGTACGTTCATCGATTCCGGGATGGGTGTTGTGTTGGAACCCATTTGTGCCTTGGTGACGAGTTTGGCGTGCATTATTACCCTCTGGTTAGGACCCTCGGGACCCTCAGTTCCCAATTTTACTGCCACCCCTTGGATAAGCTGATCCGTTTTACCACTTCCGGCGGCATTCGGTCCTTGCAAAGGAATGTAGAACGTATGTCCATCATCATCGGACTCGTCAGTGGCTGGTTTCTTTTCTTCCGGCGTCTTTTTCGATGCTTCCGCTTTACTATCAAGTGGGACAGCTATTGCAGCCGACTTGGCACCCTCTTCTGGACTGAGGGTTAAACTAACTGCAGGTTGCACTGCAGATTTAGTCGGCGTACCTAGATTGACGGGTTTTTGGAATGTTGAACTAGACGCAGCCTTTTCGTCTTGCGTCGTTTGTTTTTTGCTTTGCTGAACAGCTGGGGCTTGCACCTCGTCCCTTACCGATGAATTGCACGACTCCCTACGGCCATGCCGCCGGAAGGGTGTTGCCAACGGTGTGAAGTTGTCTTCATTGTCAAAAGAATACACACTTGCTTCGTTATCCGGCGAGAATGCCCCGAACTTGTTGGATGTCGTAGAATTTGGTGCTTTTGCTGTCGGTTTTAAGGCCTCTTGTTTGTAAACGGGAGTTCTTCCCTGCTTGTATATCGGCTTTCGATCCGCGGATGCCGGTGCAGTTGCTGGATTGTGAGAAGGCAACAAGAATAAGACATGAAACGTGCCGTGAGTTTGATAGTTTGTAATAATAACCTATACTTGACTAACTAATCGTACAGAAAGGTTTTATTTTCATGTTTAACGCCAAAAAGTTTCTCATCTAAAGTGAATTCCGATTACCAATCCGGAGGTTTTATAACACTAGCCCGAATGGCACTAAGCCGAATATCACTAGCTCGAATGCCATTTGCCCGAAAATAAAAATTTTGACATAGGGGAATTTACGTATTCTCGTCAATCTAAGCAGCGTCCGCACTTCTATTAGCATTTTGTCAGCGTTACGCACATATATCACGTGTCTGTTTGTTAACATTCATCTGCTGCTTGCTTCTCTATCCATTCCAATCGACAGAATTTTTCAAACCGGTTTGAAAGCGATTTTACAACGCTCCAAACTTCTCAGGTGAGTGTGACTATTGTCGGCAGCCTCTTTTTCTTCGGCAACCTTCCCATTAGAACTGCGTGTTAACCAGCTGTTCTATTATTGGCAACTCGAAACCAGCCCCATTTTGTAGTGCGTATACTTCATTTGAAGAAAAATCTGGCATAATAGGATTGCTCGGTCGTACAAATATAATCAGATTGAAGCTGAAAGACTAAAGAATCGTTTGAATACATTCAGGGAAGTGTGTTGATGGGAAAACATAGTGAAATTATCGTTTAAATTTTGGTTGCCGAAAACAGTCAATGGGTGCCGAAGCCAACATTTACCCTATTTTTCCTTCGCTTAAAAGTTTAAGGCCACGCAAGTAAGCTCCCACAAATCATACAACAATGAAGCTACACCGAAAATAGTTTTAATGTAGCTTCCATTGGAAACGCACATGATTTTCATCCATAATCAAAATTAATGGAATTCATCTGAAATTCACATAACATTTATGCGATCACATGAATTTTATATGATTTTTCAAACGAATTTCATCGGCCTCATAATATTCATGTGATTTTGTGGTGGGATTTGCTGCTATGTGATCACAGGAAAGCTATGTGAAATTCACATGGATTTCATCCATTAGATATGTGATAAATTTTTTGAGTGTAGTCTACCCATAATCGCACAACAGTCCCATATGGATAGGAAATCAAGCAAAGATGGAACTGATATGCGATTATTTGCAAGGAACTCAACTTTTGATAGAACTCAACTTTTGATAGAACGCAACAAACAGGGAGATGCAATTTAATTAACTTATGATAGCATTTCCGAGTGGGCAGTAAAATAATTATCTGAAAATACCGTCAAAACTATCAATCAAATCACGGATCTTTCACGTGAAAAGACGGTTCGCTTCATTCAATGAAGAGGGGATAAATCTTCCATAGAATCACGTAGTTCTTACGTGAAGAAAGGGATGGACGAAAGCTATCTATATTTTCACGTAATCCTGACGTGAATTATTTTTTGATTGTGGTTCATCTTGACATTTTGAAAAAATGGACAAATTTTGCAGTTAAATGTCCTGTCACTGAAGCTTCTTTCAGTTAGCAAACGTCTAGTGTACCTATCACCAAAATAAACGAGTTACATTGAAATTTACCTCCAAGAGCAGCAGGAGTGGTTGTAGCTGTTGTGGCGGTTGCCGTGGGTGTCGTAGATGTCACCGTTGCCGTCGCCGTAGGTTCCGTTTTCACTTTCTTGGTTTCTTTCTTCGTGTCCTTTTTCACTGGAGAAGGTGTACGCACTTTAGCCGGGACCGGAGATTTAATCTTTTCCTCTTCCTTGACTTCTTCTTTGGGAGGTTTCTTTTCCAGGACTTTAGGAGCGTCCAGTACAGGTTCCTTTTCGACTTCCTTTTCTGGTTTTACCGTTACAGGCTTCGCCTTCAAAGTAGGTCCCCTTGAAGCACTTCCACTTGGTTGAGGAGTTGGTGGTTTAGCTTCCTCTTCCTTCTTGGGCTGTGCTGTAGCAAGAGCTGGCATGTCTGCGACCGGAGAAGGCTCCGGTTTACTTTCAACCAACTTCTCCCAAGCAGCTACCGGAGGTGTGGGAACAGGCCTCTTAGATGTTTCGAGAGATTTTGATTCACCATCAAGAGAATGCATCACACCATCAAGATCGTCTGGCACAGGTGACCAAGAGGTTTCATCAATCCATTTTTGGATCTGCTCGTGGGTCATGTTGACTTTGGTTTTCCGCCTATCTCGCGGAGATAAATGGCCACCAAGCAGTGATTCAGTCAACACAGGAGGACCCAACGGCGGTTTATGCACTGAACCACACTTGCCCAAAGTACACTTTGTATCCAGCGGACCGGAGCTCTGCGCTAAACTCACACTAGCAATCCCAAATATTTTCTCCGATTCCTCTTTGCTCGGGAGCAAATTTCCGAGAAGCGAATTTGTTTTCGGTGCCACGGGTGATGTCGGTGAGGTTGGTTCAAAACCCTTGAGGAAATCCGATTCATCCATATTTAAGTCATTTTTCACATTTCGATTGAAGGGCACCTCCGGCTGGGCAGGAGTTGTGGGTTTTTCTGAGAATATTTCCGGTAGTGGTCTGGAGAGAGGTTTGATTGCACGAATAAAAGGTTGCTGAGGCTGCGCTGTCGGCTGCTTCGTAGGGGAGGTGCTAGTTTCGGCTGCCGTCGATTGGAATGTATTGTCGTGGGACTTGTTGACACGCGTGGAATTCAGATCGTCCGTGACAGGTGATCGAACGACTTCCGGACTGGTAAGCTGATGCGGAAGGCTGAGCATTTGTGGAGTAGCAACTTTAGGGCTTGAAGTTTTTGGAGGCGTCGACAATTTTGTAGGAGTTTTCACTACAGTTGCTGCTATAGGAGCTGGGGAAGGAAGTCGTTCAACCGTTGGTGACGGAACGCTAGCGTTGGAAGGTTTGTTTTCGGGTGCCAATTCCTCAGGTTTCACTTCCTCAATTGTTGGTTCTATCGGAGGTTCCTTGACAGGCGAAGATTTTGCAGGGGTCTTTTTCACCGGAGACTTCCTAGCTTTAGCTTTCTCTTTCTGTTTTTGTCGAATCTGACTTTTCTTGCGTTGAAATTTAGTTGCCAGAGGTTCCTCGTCAGAATCGCTAAAGCTTTTTTCCACCGGTTTCGATTCTTCTTGCTGTTGGTTGCTATCGTTAACTTTTTCAATTGCTTCCTTCGGTACTTCTACTTTTGGTTTTGCTTCTTCGAGCTCTTTCTTCTTTCTTCCCTTTTTAGCCAAACTAGGCTTTGGCTCTTTCTTGCCTGCATTAGCCTTCAGTTCGTTTTCCATCTGTTCTAGTTTGCGCACATTTGGAAGCTCCAAGCTGTCTAACGACGAAGCATCATCGTCGGATTTGTCATCATGGTTCAACTTACGTCCAATCAGTTCCATATACAGTGTTGCTGCTTCCTTTGTTTTACGGCTAGGTCGAGAGCTAACCTCGGCCACTGGCTCGGGAGTCTTCTTCGACTTTTTCTCCTCGACTGCTGGTATTTCAGGCGTAGTGGCTGGTTCGACTTTTTTCTTTCTAGTGGTACCCTTCTTTGGTGTAGTTTTTGAAGCAGATTCTGGAAGTGGGGATTGGACTGGTTCCTTCTCCGGTGAAGGCTTAGGTTTTTCCACAACTTGTTCCTTAATAACAACCGGTTCCACTTTAGGAATAGGAGTCGGCGTTTTCTTTTCGTTCTTTCTATCTACTGAAACCGGAACTGAATATGGCGGAGGAGATTCTTTCTTTTTCCTACCACGAGGAATCCTCTTCTGAACGGGTGGAGCCTCCACAACGGGAAGTTCGGATTTTTTCGAACTAACATCTGATTTTCTACTGACAGATTCTGACCTTCGAGCCTTCTTTTCCGGAAGTTCTTCTGGTGATTTCTCTGGTAATGGTTCCGATTTCCGACCTTTCTTCGCATTCACTGTTTTAGCATTTGCTTTTTTCCTAGCAGCTGCTCTTTTCAGAAGAGGTTCATCATCATCCGACGAGAACTCCTGCTCTACGGGTGGTTCAGGTTCCTTCGGTTTCGACACAATTATAGTTGGAGAATTGGTTGGTAATTTGGCCGGAGAAGCCGATCTTGCCGGAGGACTTCTGAGGGCAGATAACCTAGTAGTACGCTTTCCTGTTTCCTCTGCATCCAACGATTTCTTTTTGCCACCTTTCGCTCTTCCTTTCGGAGCATCCTCCTTGGCTTCTTTCTTGGGTGATTCTTCCTCAATGTTCTTGTCGTCGCTTACTTCCCTGTTCTTCATTTCAACATCATCTTTGTTTAAAACTACCTTAACATCAATCAATTCCTGTATCTTCTCCACATCGGCTTCTTTCGCAGATTTTTTTTGCGACTTTCTCTTGCCTGCTTTCTTTTTTGCTGGATTTAGTTTCTCTTTTTTAGCCGTCTCTATTTGATCTTTTTTATTCTCCGCAGTCTCTTCCAGTTTTTCTCCTTCTTCATCAAGGTCTAACCTATTTTTCATGTTGCCAGCTCTTGTCTGTTTGTTGTACGCTGTAACTCGCAGTTTGGCCATTCGTTGTTCATGGTACTTTTTTCTTAACGCTTGTACGGTTTGAACTCGTCTATTTTCCGGATGTTGCTCGGCCCGCTTTCTCACAGCGAACGGCATGAAAGCAGGCTTTTCCTGGGCTGTACCAGACTTGTCTTCCTTTTTATCGTTTTCTTTGGCGGTGGTCGGAGACGCAACAACAGTGGAACTCTTTTTGACCTTTTCCGGTTCTTCTTTCTTTGCGGGTGGTTCATCTAGCTGTTGCGTAGATGTTTCGCCAGTTTTCGTAACAGTTGTTGACGTTGATGCAGTCGGTCTGCTACCAGAAGCGGAAGCTTGTTGTTGTTGTTGTTGTGCCGCTGTATTGAAGAAATCTAAGCTGGGTGGAAGCACCGGAGTTCCACGGAAGCAAAGAAATGTTAGGAAGTCTTCCGTATTCGGACGTATGTTAGGTAGCAATTCCGGAATCGGACCGGCATCGGATCCACTTTGGGTTCGATTTTGTGCATCTTTAGTTGCATTTGTTGGATTGGTGCTAAAGTTGAGATATGCTGACGTTGATGCGGCGCCTTGTCCTTGAGCGAACTTACGTTGCGCTTGCACTTTTGGCCTGAGAAAAGGAAGAGAAAGAATATTGATTAACACACGATTGGTTTCATTAGATGTAAATGTTTGGTGTCAACTTTGTTCAGCAACAAATTTTTCATTTTAAGACCTTTCTGTAATGAGCAAATTTTTACTAACAGGGCAACATGTCATAAGAGCCTATATGTCAAATGTAAACAATGACTTCAAGCATCGATTGCGCGCGGATTAAGACTCATTCAGGCAAACCAACAGAAGCATTTGGTGCTCTATCAGATGGTATTATTAGTTTTGCGGATGCGTGTTGTGATTCGTGAGTAATCGACGCATAAAGCGCAATCAAAAAAAAGGGCCAATGAGACAGATGGAAATCTCATTGGCCCTTTACACGATTGCGCTGCATTACCATGAATATCCCCGAACGCCATCACCCCGAATGTGAAAGAACGAGCAACAACTAAAAGAAGGCAGAATCTCATTCGAGGTAATGGCGTTCGGTAAGTGATATTTGGAGTAACGACATTCTGGGTAATGGAACACAACCTTTTTTCACATGTTGCTCTAAATTTCACAAATACTGTAAAAAGAAACCTCGCCTGGCCACACACAAACAAAATTTGGGCCTGCAAAATGTGTTGAACCTGGAAGGTGCGTAATATCTAGCTCTGGTGCTTTTTTTTACTTCACGCCTTTTCGAGTAATATAACTATCAGCTGAATCATGGATAACTGGGTTAATCCGACAATAGCTAAGTAAGTATCATATCTGAGTCTTTCGACATTTTCGACGAATAGCACAGGACCTACTAGCCACCTGCAAAAACAAAAAGTATAGTGTAAATACGGATCGGAACAATCGGCACAACAAGTTGTTCGGCATCATTCTAGTTACCGCCGCCATCTCATAGACAAAGTCGTCGTGGCTGTTGAAGTTTACTCGGTCATCGATCATCACTCCAGGTATTTCTGCACGCGCTTCGAGGCTATAGCATATTATCATAAACTAACACTAAAACCAGGGGTCCCGAAGAAACATGCTCAATCTTTTGGCTCAGGAAGTAGGCACCAGACCTCTGGTCTCAAGCTAATTGAAGCACCCCTCGAAACGTACGAAAATCCATGAACCGTTCATTAACCTCTGTAAAATTTATAAGGCGAATCAAAACAAACACGAGAATGACGTACGCTTCTAGATGTACTTGGGACCAATGAGCTAGTCAAGTAATGAGCCAATTTAAAATTGTTAGCTTCGTATTGATTGTTGATATTATGCTCTCGGGGGATGCCCCGCTTTGCAGTTACTGACCAATAGCACTACTGTTTTGTGGAGGGCTATCTGCAGTATCGCTAATTGCATCCTGTGTCCACATTATATATCCAAGATGAAAAGACAAACGAATGAGGCCACACTTCTCAACCGTTTCAATCGCCTCGATTATTAGCAATTACACTTCTTCTAGCATCTCGCCTGTTACCGTTAAGACGACGTCGTCAACAAAGCCAACGATCTAGACATCTTAGGGCAGCTTTACCGTTGTACATCATTGGATCAAGGATGGAGCTTTGTGGAACACATGAAGAGATCCTAATCGATCTTAGTCCCATGTCTGTCTCATTCATCAGCAGTACCCGGTTCTGGAAGTATCTCTTCGCAAGATAGCCAACAGGGACACTCATTCTGTGCAACGCTTTGGCGATAGCTTCCCAGCTAACGCTATTGAATGCGTTCTTGACGTCAATCGTTATCACGGCGCAATATCGATTTTCCCTCCGTTTTTGTTTCGACGACTTCGCCGGGACGACGTAGGGACATTTTAGAAGATGATTGTCTACGTGGGAGAATGGGGATTCTAAGACCGTTTCCGTACTGAGTACCAATGCTACCGACGCCAGGGAGGCAACTCCCACACCTGGACCCTACCTATCGACCCTTAAAATCATGGACCGGAGACCAACAGCTTAACATTACTAGGCGTGATCAGATATGTTATAGCTTTGAAAATCCCGGTGGTGCCGACTGGGATTGAGCCCAGACCCTTTAGGGTGAGGAACTGCATCTTCGACAATCTCCGACAAAGTCTATGAGAAAAACATCAAGTGTAATCTGCTTCCAAGGTAGTTCTGAAGAATTTTAGATTTCTTGTGAAGCCTGAGATAGTCTTGAGAAGAATTTCAAGAAAACCCTGAATTGAATTCAAATTAAGTTTGAATGAAAATTCATAGGAATTTCTGTGCAGCAGAACTCCTGCGAACTTCAGAAGAAAATTCCAAGGACATTCTGATGATAATTTTGTGGGACAAAACGAATCCGGAGTATAAGCCGTTGGACATTACTTATAAGTCGTTGGCGAATACTTTGAAATTCCGAGGAAAATTTAAAGAAAATTGAATTCGGAGGATAGTTCCAACGAAATTTTGAGGAATATTTCAATAGAATTGCGAAAAATATTTTAAGTATAGAGCAGTTCCACGCCAAATGACGAATGAAAAAACTCGACCATCTCCGATTTTCATGAAACTTTGCAGAATTGTTTGTTATGGGCAATGATACACATTTTTGCTAAAATTTGGCCATTTTGGATCTGGTAAAATTATCAATATGCCGTCTTTGAAAGTTTTCAAATAACTTTTGAGAAATATTTCAGAAGTCTTCTTAAACTTTCTGAAATTCTCGAAAAATCTTAAGGGTTTTCGATTTTTTTTTAAATTATCCTGAACTTTTCTGAGTCACAATTATGCATCATCAAACTGCTCCAAAAGTATGGACTAAAGTTACAGCAACTGCTTTTAAGATCTCTGAAATTCCGCAAAGATCTCTAGATTTTCTGAGGTACTTAGAACTTCTTAAGTTATCTATGTTTCTAAGAGCTTCTTAAAAGTTTCTGTAGTTTTTCGGAACCGCTTTGAAGTTCTTAAAGCTTCCAGTAAGTTCCCCATAATTTCAGTATAGCTTCATAAACAAACTGCGGCAACATAAGGGAACCGCATTTTTTTATGAAGCTTCACTGAAATTATCAGCAGGAAGGAAGTTTCTGTCTGTCGGTAAAGTTGTAAAGGATATTAAGAAGGATGCTGGTAAGTTCGGATTCTCTCACTACACGGCCATTTAATCCTACACAAATTTGAGTTCCGTTTACAATGTTCACAATTTTCTCACTACACAATGCTTGTGTGCATGGGAACATTCTGTTTAGGCTATTTCTAGTGATTATAATAATCCCCAGCCCTTTGGTTCAGTGAGGGTTAGGGCGCGTTCTGCCAGGTTGGTCGAGGCTGATTTCAAATATGAGTTAGTAATGAACATTGGTATGTGGAATTCACTTTAAAAGGTGCGTTTCATATTTCATCACATGTAGTTCCAAAGAGCCTGAACGAAATGTGGCGAAATGTGCGAAGATCACTTGAATTATACGATATGATGTAACATTGATACTAATTGTATGAAACACAAGTAAATTCTTCCATAAATCAGTTAGGATAACATATTGAAAAATGTGTTAATTGTTAGTGAACAAATGTAATGTTACATTGAAATACTTTAAATCGTGTTAAATTTAAATGTTCCCTCATTTCACATCCGTTGAACCATTCTGAACGGCCATCCCTTTGTGTTTATATCACATCATTGCTAATAATGTATATATCTATAGAGCATTTCCAGCCCAAAACGCAAACCGGTTGGTCATGAGTGTTTCCGATTTGAATGAAACATTTCTCACGTGTTTGCTGCTACTAATGGTTGCATTTTTCATTTAAATATGATTTTTTCCTCCAGAGTAACTTTTGAAAAGGGCGTATAAAAAAATGGATTATTTTTTTTTCAAAAAATCATAACTTGAAAACTATTGATCTGATCAAAATGACAAATCAGAAGAAGTTTTAGGTAGTTAAATTATCTTTGCGGAAAAAAAAACACTGAAAGAAAAACTTAGTAAATTAGTATTTAAAAACGTAAAACGATGATTATCTCAAAACACCCCCCCTTCGATCTTTATAATTTATTTTTTTCAAGAAAACTGAAAAAATGCCCTAATATTTGGTGAAGAGTGTATGCTGGTAACTATCTTAAAAAAAAATCCATAATTTTTGAAGTTTTTGTTGGTTATTACAAGTTGGTGAAATTGCATATTTTTTAGTAAAATAGTAATTTATTTGGATTTTACGCATAATTTTCAAAAACTTTGCGTATAGAAACTTTTTCCCCAAGTCCAGCCGTTCTCAAGTTAATGCAATTTAAAAAAAAATAATTATAATTTTCTACATTTTGGGCCATTTTCAAATGTTAGTCGTGATGTCCAGCAACGAGATGTTTTTCCATGAATATATATTAAAAAACAAACAATTCATTCTCAAATATGGTAGCTGTCAGACTTACCCGTTTCTATTTAGACGCAGCAGAAAAGAAACAAATTTATAAGTAATTACTCTCAAATATACCCAAATAATCAACAAACCCACTCATGTGCCTTTTTTCTGTCCTCTATTAGTTGTATACCTGGATAGAATTGTGTATGTCATAACAGAGGCTCAAAACATAAACAGGTAAACAAATATGTTATTAAACCTGTAATTGAGATAAATTCTCTAGGTACTTCTCTGACGTATACCATATTGTGCCTTAAGAGCTCATCCCGCGATATCACAACTACATAAAAAGGCACCCCGTGGAGGCTTCTTACACTCACACTCAAAAAAGTTTGCTATAATCAATTGTACCTAATGAAGATAGGTTTAATGTCAACATTGTAATTATTCTGCTACATATATACATATATATATATATATTGGGACGTTCTTCACCTGTTCTGTATCCGCTGATTTGCCGCAGATCCCGCCTCTCAAGGGTGAACAAACTGGCTGTCTACAAACAAATCATAGCACCTGCGATCCTCTATGCAGCTCCCCTGAGGGAATCATGTGCACAGACTCACAGGAACAAAATCCAAATCACTCAGAATAGAGTGCTGAGGATGGTTCTTGATCGTCCTTTCGACACTAGAATAACAAATTTACATGAAGAGGCAGG